GCATAGAGCTCCAGAGCCAACTCCTCCCTCTACCCCTCTGTCTGAAGGGTTGATCTAGGGGCTTTGGAGTCCTTAACACTTGCCCTTTTTGATGTTATCTTTCCATTAAATGTTAGTCTGGATCTGTGGTTACAGCAAAGCTTGTACTTCTAAAACCTTGATTATAATCAACCCAAAATACAAAGATTCAGTATCTCAAACAGATTGCAGACAGCCCACTGATTACTTTTGGGGATGACTGATTAAGAAACTTTATTACAGTAAACAAATGCATCTAATGTCCCCCAAATACATTTGTGACAAGAAAGACACACAGGAGACATAGACAATAGTTGCTACATCACAGCCATATTCTTTCCAAAGGATAAAACACCATTCAAGAACAGGGTGAGGGGGTTGGAAGAGAGAGGTGGTTAAAGAAAGCAGGTACTGTCCTTTAGATTAAAAACACACACACACACGCACACACACACACAGGTTGGCATTGCAAGAGCACCTACTGTGGGCCCAGAAATAAAGTAAAGCCTAAACCTTAGGTGGTGACACTATGCCACTTGTCACACCTCAGAGGCTACAGAGCATCATTCCATCAAGACAAGCAATCTTGTGATAGGGTGAATAGTAGTCTTGCTGCAAGCAGCGAGTGGATCAAGTGGCCTTAAGTTTCTTTAGAATTAAATATCTGCTTAATCAGAGATCACTTACCAGCTTCCCTACTTCTGTTTAGTTACTGTGGGAGCACAAAAGAACGTCACCCCCTTCCATAGTTGGCATGTCTATTTACAACCAGATAGAGGTGCACACCTTAGCAGAAATCTCTCCTTTGTGCCAAGTTGAGCATTTTCATATGTGACGAGGTTGCCCACAGCTCTAATCTTAGCATGGCACATTGTGTTGGGGCAGCAGCAGCTTAAGACTACAATGCCAAGTGACGGCTGAAGGAAAGTAACAAGGGCATGGCTGAAGCAGGAGGGGCAATCCTGGAACAAGTACCTCCAGGCAAAGCTCATGACCAAAGAGATTTTTAATTAGTGGTCATTTTCTAGAAGAACTAGAAAAACACATTTAGGACAAACAGTTCTGAAATGAGAAGGAATGGCTATAAATATAGAGATCAGTGATCAGGCCAGTGATCATTACCATAACTTGTACCCACCAGTTGTTGTAATAGTTCCTTATATATTTTGAATACTAAGTTCTTATGAGATGTGATTTGCAAATATTTTCTCACATTAGGTTTTCTTACTTTCCTGCAAATATTTTCTCACATTAGGTTTTCTTTTTACTTTCCTGATGATATTGCTTGAAGCACAAAATATTTTTTAAATTAGATTTATCTAATGTTTTCTTCTATTTATCTAATGTTTTCTTCAGTTGCTTTGCGCTTTTGAAATCCTAAGAAACCATTGCCAAATCCAAGGTCACAATGGTTTTCACCTATGTTTCCTATTAAGAATTTTATAGTTTTAGCTCTTACATTTGGGTCTTTAATCCATTTTTAATTAAATTTTTGTATGTGGTGTGAGGTAGGGGTTGAAATTCATTCCTTTACATGTGAATACCATTTATTTAAAAGACTATTCTTTCCCCACTTGAATGATATTGGCACCCTTATTAAAAATCAATTGGCCATAGATATATGGGTTTATTTCTAAACTCTCAGTTTTATTCCATTGGTCTGTCTGTTCTGTTTTTATTTTTTAAATATATTTTTATTGATTCCAGAGAGGAAGGGAGAGGGAGAGATAGAAATATCAATGGTGAGAGAAAATCATTCATTGGCTGCCTCCTGCACACCCCACACTGGGGATCAAACCCGCAACCCAGACATGTGCCCTGACGGGGAATCGAACAGTTACCTCCTGGTTCATAGGTTTATGCTCAATCACTGAGCCATGCCGGCTAGACATGTTCTGTTTTTAAGCCAGTACCACACTGTGTTGGTTACTAGAGCTTTATACTAAATTTGAAACTGAGAAGTCTGAGTCCTCCATCATTTGTTGTTCCATTTATTTATGCATTTATTGGTTGATTCTTGCATATGCCCTGACTGGGAATCAAACCCTCAACCTTGGCATATTGGATGACACTCTAGCCAACTGAGCTACCTGGCCAGGGCTGAATGCTTTTACTTTTTCTTGCCTAATTTCCCTGGCTAGAACTTCTAGTACAATGATGAATAGAAATGGCACAAGCAGGCATCCTTGTCTTGTTCCTGAATTTAGGGGGAAAGCATCTTTCATTGTATTAGCTGTGGGTTTTCCTTAGCGCTCTGTATCAGGTTGATTAAGTTCCCATCTAGTCTGTTTTCTGAGTGTTTTTTTATCAAGAAAGGGTACTGGATTTAATCAAATGCTTTTTATATATCCATTGAGATGATGTGGGTTTTTTCCCCTTTATGAATATGGTGCCCCAGCTTCTTTTTAAAATTAAAATCTTAGGATGCTCAAGATAAAAAAACACAGTGAGGGTCTGCTCTGGTTGAAGCAGGAAGGGAAGTCTGCAGTTGCCAAATTGGCCCATCAGTAAGTCCTTCCCAAGTAGCCCTGGGCCCCACAGGAAACTAAGCCAGGGCCCAAGAGCAGCAAGAGGACCCTAGGGCCCTCTCATCCAAAACTCCTTGTTGAGCTGGCTCTGTCAGCCAACTAAGCCCCAATCCTTGGCCTTAGGAAGCCCTGGTTGGCAGGGCTGGCTGATTACAAGTACACAGTCACTTTGGCATCTTGCAAATTGCAGTTGCCCTGGCATAGAGCTCCAGAGCCAACTCCTCCCTCTACCCCTCTGTCTGAAGGGTTGATCTAGGGGCTTTGGAGTCCTTAACACTTGCCCTTTTTGATGTTATCTTTCCATTAAATGTTAGTCTGGATCTGTGGTTACAGCAAAGCTTGTACTTCTAAAACCTTGATTATAATCAACCCAAAATACAAAGATTCAGTATCTCAAACAGATTGCAGACAGCCCACTGATTACTTTTGGGGATGACTGATTAAGAAACTTTATTACAGTAAACAAATGCATCTAATGTCCCCCAAATACATTTGTGACAAGAAAGACACACAGGAGACATAGACAATAGTTGCTACATCACAGCCATATTCTTTCCAAAGGATAAAACACCATTCAAGAACAGGGTGAGGGGGTTGGAAGAGAGAGGTGGTTAAAGAAAGCAGGTACTGTCCTTTAGATTAAAAACACACACACACACGCACACACACACACAGGTTGGCATTGCAAGAGCACCTACTGTGGGCCCAGAAATAAAGTAAAGCCTAAACCTTAGGTGGTGACACTATGCCACTTGTCACACCTCAGAGGCTACAGAGCATCATTCCATCAAGACAAGCAATCTTGTGATAGGGTGAATAGTAGTCTTGCTGCAAGCAGCGAGTGGATCAAGTGGCCTTAAGTTTCTTTAGAATTAAATATCTGCTTAATCAGAGATCACTTACCAGCTTCCCTACTTCTGTTTAGTTACTGTGGGAGCACAAAAGAACGTCACCCCCTTCCATAGTTGGCATGTCTATTTACAACCAGATAGAGGTGCACACCTTAGCAGAAATCTCTCCTTTGTGCCAAGTTGAGCATTTTCATATGTGACGAGGTTGCCCACAGCTCTAATCTTAGCATGGCACATTGTGTTGGGGCAGCAGCAGCTTAAGACTACAATGCCAAGTGACGGCTGAAGGAAAGTAACAAGGGCATGGCTGAAGCAGGAGGGGCAATCCTGGAACAAGTACCTCCAGGCAAAGCTCATGACCAAAGAGATTTTTAATTAGTGGTCATTTTCTAGAAGAACTAGAAAAACACATTTAGGACAAACAGTTCTGAAATGAGAAGGAATGGCTATAAATATAGAGATCAGTGATCAGGCCAGTGATCATTACCATAACTTGTACCCACCCAGAACCTGACAGGGAGGGGAGGACACTGTCTGCAGAAATGCAAGGTTCCAAATAGTCAATTTTAAGAAAAAAAATCTGCTTTCTCCTGAGTAAGCATGAAAACATGTCATTAAAACACTCCCGAGTGCTTCCCAGGCCTCAAACATACATATGAGTGTCAATGCTAGGCATTAGCAACACTCACTCATAACACAGTACCCCTCATTACTGCCAACAGTTAAGATGTATGTACACATCGGCCCTCAAAATACTTATATTTAGTATCACCATTTTGCCACTGTGGCCATCACCCCTCACCCCAACTTGGACAAATATCACACCATCCACCAACATGAAATAATCACTGAATCACAAACCAAGCTTCTTCAAGAATATTTAACAACAATCCATGTTTCCAATGAATGAGTTCACATCATGTTTAGGTCATTCTACTTTCCATCTGATGCATTTAGTGATTAGAAACAACTGATTCCGTCAGCCTGCCTTGCAGGTGCCCCAACACAGCCTGCCAACAGGAGCTCCAGCAAATTTCCTTGGGGTGTATGGCTTCTTGAAGTAGCGTGGGGAGGAACTGATACTGCTCCCCACCCCCCACCCCGTCACTGGGGACCAAAAGAGAAGTGGCAGCTTAAGACCTCAATTGTTGAGCAGAACAAATGTCGGGGGCGGGGGGCGGGGGAATAAAGCCTGAATGTTTGATACACCATACATACCCTCAGGAAGGTATTTTTGCTGGTTAGCAATTAATTTGGCCCCACAATGTAAGGGGTGAGGCAGGAGGCAAAAAAAATATATAGTTTTAAACTTCATAGGTAGTAGTCAGCCTCAATCCTAACCACCCACCTTCCTGCACCTCTAAAGGCTGCTAAACCTTGCCTCTATCAAGTTATCTTAGCTCCTACATTCAATAGTTTAGACTTCATCTTGACGCCATTCAGACACAAACAAAATCATGCAGTAACTTCAAGTAGCTCTCTTCAACTCGCCCTAAATTACCAGATTTACAGGGAGGCTAGTCATCAAATACAGTAGAGTGGGGTGTTTTACCATTAAGACTGCTAGGAGTCAGAAATTTAGAGTGTTATAATAGAGAACAGCTTAAAAAATGTAATACTGTTTTTATTTAACTTCAAAAACATTTCAGCATTCTAAACATACAAAAATTAACAAAACGTTGCAAATTGTGTTTAGTACAGATGGTTCTTGAACTTTCATTGATGCAGTGACTCTTCACTTCGTTGACAATGAAGAGTTGTAGTTTGTTTTAAAACAAAGTTTAAAACTACCACACAACTAAAAAAAAACAAAACGATCCAAATACTTCTCATGCCAGCTGACCCCCCTTTTTCCACAGCTAAGAATGGCAGGATGCTATGTCACTATATACAAAAACAAGACTACCTAAAGCTAAATGGATGCCCACTGCAGTGTCCACAGGTCCAGCCTCACAGTGCACGCCCTGAGCTACAGCCCCTCCAAAAGGCATCTTCCTCACAGCCTCAACACCAAGCAAAGAGCATCAAGAGCTTGTCTTGGTTGTTTGTTCTTTTTACAAACTATAGATATGTACAGTTGAGAACTCAGGATTTCTAGCCAATAACCAAATAGGTAACACCACCTTACAGATAAAAAAAAAAAAAGAAAATGCCAGAAACATCTTTAAATGCCTTGTCACACCAACAGCAAAGTGCACAGAGTGAGGAGAACATGAGAGCCTTTTCATTTTAAAAATGTTTGGAAATATGTACAACTTTGATACAGTTTCTGGGTGCTCCGGACACCCATGGCCACTTCATGTAAACCACTGACAATTTCTAGAGCACTTTGAGAGACTACATATGATCATGACCCAATTGTGTAATTAATCCTAATGAGGGCAACAGACACCTCTCAAATAAGAGCTGTGTCAATTACGGCGCTCCCCTACACTAAGGTATTCACAAGGAGACAGATAAACAGTTTTTTTATTCATCCTCCTCCTCCTCCTCCTCTTCTTCCTCCTCCTCCTCTTCCTCCTCCTCCTCTTCATCTTCTTCTTCCACCTTTTTCCGGGCAACTTTAGCGGGACCCTTGGCGCCATCAAACTTGCCTTTAGACTTATAGTCGGCAACATCCTAGAAAGAACAGGGACACATTCCAAATGAGAAGACAAGCTCTCCTGCAGCTATTTTAGCACAGGGTGAAAACATGCTGTCCCTGCCTCAGAATAAGAAAGCTGGAATTCAAAAACAGTACAGGTCTGCTACTTGAAGTATTTGTTTCCTGATACACATTTGGTTCTCAGCCATTCAAATTTAAAAGGTAATGGGTGATCAAGTAGCCTTTAAGTCATGTTATAGAACTATCAAATTCTATTCCAGTGGCATCCCGTTATCCAAATTTTTAAGCCTGCCTAAAGTTCTCCAAAATACAAAGATCAGAAGCCTGAACATCAGCACACATAGCTGATCTTGAGTGGAGATGGGCCCTCACATGCCCAGCAAAGCAGCCTTCCACCCCACAAACCCTCACATTCAGGGCAGCTGACTTCTCACCGGCCAGAGTACACACTCTGGCCCACCTCACCTTCTCATACTTCTCCTTCAGTTTTGCAGCCTTATTGTTGTAAGGCTGTTTTTCACTGTCACTTAAGTTATTCCACATCTCGCCCAGCTTCTTTGCCACATCTCCAATAGAAATTCCAGGGTTTGTAGATTTAATTTTGGGGCGGAATTCCGAGCAGAAAAGGAAAAATCCAGACCTTGGGGGAGAAAATTATATATAGATGAGAATCTTCAAAAAGTGAGCTTCAGTCACTCTCCCATGTTCCTGAACCGACATACTTCCTATCACTCCTCCCTAGAGTGAAGAAATGTGCAATACCATATACAGTGTTTCAAAGCTGAAGGCTATAAAATGTTTAAGCGGCTTTAGAAATACAGAGTGGTTTCTCAGTCTCTCAGTTACTGGGCAAGGGGTAGAGAATGTACCTAAGGATCCTAAAACCCCAAACTAGGCTGTCTGCTTCCCAGTGGAAAGGTCAACAGGCAACTACCAAGCACACACAGCTCACCAACACCTCAGGCTCAAAGTACAGAATATTTTACAGAGGTCTCCTGACATTTTTTTAGGTAAAGTATCTTTTAAAAAATCTTTCAAGCAGAAGGAAAGCTTTTCATGGTTGTCCTGAATCCTACAGTCACTTACGGTGGCCTTTTGGGGGCATTTGGGTCCTTCTTCTTCTTGCCTCCCTTAGCTGGTCCATAATCCTTCATTTCCCGATCATAGCGTACTTTATCTGCCTTTGCCATCTCATCAAATTTAGATTTCTCTTTTGCCGACATTGTCTGCAAAGAACAGGACCTGATAAATTCTTCAATGCAGTGAACACGTACCTGTTCAGTTGTCCTATAATTAAAGTGGCAGCTGCCATAACCACTTGCAAAAGGGGATGAAAGCCTTAAACCCTTGTAGTCTTTTGTGTGTGTGGGGGGGGGGGGGGGGGGGGAGAAAACAAAATTTATTGGGAGGAAAACAAAGCTGTGGGTTAACCCCCCCCCCTTGTAGAATGTTAAACAATAAAAGCACACATACAAAATCCTAAAAACAATTAAAATGTGTCTAAGTAAAGAGGAAGAAAACAGCCACCTGGGACTACTCTAAAGGTAAATAACACCAAAGTATCAAATCCAACTAAGACTAGCTGGAAGGATACAAAGCAAAAATACCTTCCACCTCTCAGAACACTTCTTAGAAAATTCTGCAAAATTGACTGGAACTTCTGGGTTTTTCTTCTTATGTTCCTCTCTGCATGTCTGCACAAAGAAGGCATAAGCAGACATCTTGCCCCTTGGCTTCTTGGGATCACCTTTAGCCATCCTGACTGTGATGGATGAAAGAAAGAGAAACAAAGAAAAACAAATCCAATGAACAGAATAGAACTACAAGATATACCAAAGGCAGGGTAAAATTAAAATCGATATTGCTCTTAGGAGGCCCCCCCCCAAAAAAAATGCTTGATGCCACTGGCAACCAAAGACAGACTAGGGAGGAAATCAGCCTCACTGTCACTTGTCATTTAACTTTTGACCAGCATGAAGTGCACAGGTTTCCGAGTTACTTCTCCAAGAGCGATCAAGTTCTCCAAATGGAACAGACCCAAGTGGGGTGGCTCAGCTCTACATTCTGATTCAGAAATGCTATGTTTTGGAAACTGCAACCACAAAGTGGGGAGGATACATTTGTAGGTGGTACAGGCTGATGATAGAAGCTTGAAACCAATGACTTAAAGCTAGCTGGTCATCTGTTTTACTCCCATGTTAGAAACGAAAATACTGTCAGTGCTGCTAAACACAAGATCAAAGCAGAACTGTAAATAGGGAAATTTTTATATTTCAGTATTTTTGCTGCATTTTGACTTATAAAAATGGCTTTTACAAGAATGGTTATACAGCAAGTGAGCAGATACCCCTGCACTATTAGTTCAAATCTGTCTCTTCGTCATTATCTAAAGGGGCAGGGGATATGAAAAGGGCTAAGTCTTGCTCATCTATAAAGCGGAATGCATGTCCAGCCAGAAATACTTTGGAGAAAGTTTGCAAATAAAAATGCAGCTGTGGCGTGTCATAGTCCCTTTCCCACCCCCGAGCTTCCCGCCATCTTTTCCTTTTCCCACACCCAAGGTCATCATGTAAAACTAAAGCACTCCCCTTTGCGGGGACCGACCCAGGGGCTGCTTTAGGGCTCCACAGTGGCTGTGCGGGGGAGGCAGGACAGAACACAGGGGAGCCTCCGGCCGGCAGTGGGCAGCCAGACTCGGCCAGTGCTGGGTCACCTGGACACCCATAATTCACCTTCCATTTTGTCAAAAGCTTCCTGATGAAAGAAAGTGCCCCTGAAATCCACCGTTGCCT